TCAAGTGGTAGAGCGCTCGCCTTGAGCTGAAGAGCTGAAGGACAGCGCCCAGGCCCAGAGTTCAAGCCCCACAACCGACAAAAAAAAAAAAAAATCTTTATTCTCAGCCCAAATAGAGCCTCATGACAGTTGTCTAGATATATATTTAGAAATATAAAGTAATAAAATTATCTTCTGGTCCTAGCTTACCTTATTTGTAAGTTAGAACAACCAGAAAATTACCTTTCTTGCATGTTAAGACATTGCCAATAAAGGAAAAGTCTACATAGTAATATTGGATGTGCCCCTTTCCTTCTGAATTACTACTCATCTAGGGTCCAGTAAGGACAAGGACTATCCTAGATTTCTGGTTGTAGGGCATGGAGATGAGGAGTCTACAGAAGAAAAATAAATATTCCTGGTGATTTTAAACACAGTAAGTTCACTTCTGCTATTTTTCTTACTCCAAGCTAAATGTTACAAAATAGCTAGGACATTCATAATGCAGTAACAACTATCTCAAACTACAGTAGCAGAAAACAGCTCCATTTTGTATCTCTTGTGGTTGGCTGTGGATCTGGTTTATGTTTTTATCATCTGCACCTTGGGACCCAGCCACTCTGAAAGTGAAATAACTGTCATGAACCACATAGTTCAATAAAATCATAAGCCACAAACTTGACAACCACAGTTATAATTATACATTTTCTAATATCCACATTTTACATGGTCAGAAGAAACAGGCAAAGGAAACATTAATGATGCCTTTTATGTAATGGAATATAATCAAAATAATGTTTTTAATATACATGTTGAAAATACATAATGTATATGCATAAATATATACAAATGTAAAGCTATTTGTGAGGGTTTTTATATAATCATCTAGTCATTGGTAAGGAAAAGAGAGTTCTAGAGTATTTTATACCATGAAATGCCCAATCCAAAACTGAGTACAGTACAATGCCTCACCCCAAAGGGTGGGAGTTATAGTCCTAGAATAAGAACAGCAGACCTCTGAAAATGCACAGCAAATCTCCCTCAGGGCTGCCACATTTGCCTTCATGAGCAATATCTTCCAATACTAACAATAGTCACTGAAACCATCATGTTGACCAAGCCAGACTCTCAGGAGGTAACCAAGAATGAACCTGTTTTTCCCCTCTTCTGTATCACATTCAAATCAGCTCTCTGGAACTAAACCTTTCCCCATGGACTTTTAGAAACATCCCAGCATACATTCCCTTCTCTCTCAGATCATAAAAATCCAGTCACTTCAAGTCACAAAACCATCTCAGCTTGACAACATTC